CGGGGCCTTGGCTGAGGCGGGTGCGGCATCCTGCGCACCCGGAGCGGAGCCGCCGGCCCCGCGCCCGCCCCTGCTCCTGGCCACCTTCCCGTCCGCTCCCGACGCAGAGGGCACGGGCGGCCGGCACAAAGTTGCCGGTGCCCGGTGACAGCGGACTGTTCCCAAGCCGCTGGCCTGCGGGTCACCGGTGCTACTTTTTACGGTACGGGGTCGCTTTTCGGATCCCGAAGTTTGGAGAAACGCTGCCAAGAGATGCGAGGTGTGGCTGAGCAGCCGCTGCTGCAGAAGCGCGCTGCAGCCGCCCCTCGGGACTCGGGGCAGCGCCGACGCGCTCTCCGCCTCCTAAGTGCAACTTGGGATGCGTTTTGCTAGAAGCCACTTATGGAAATGGCCCTGGTATTAGCCCCGCGACTGCCAGGAAGCCAGACGAACAAAGTTAAGTGGTTTTGAGGTGGTGATTGACGAGGGAGATCTTGCCCTTGTTTGGCAGTGGTGGCTTAAATCGGTCAGTTCTCCCTTGAAGTCAAGATCTGCTGTTCTTAAGCCTTGCTAATTGGATACCAAGTTGTCTGTCTGTCTGCCCCCCCCCTCTCTCTCTCTCTCTCTCTCTCACACACACACACACACACACACACACACACACACACACACACACAGAGTTTTTCTTTTATGCCTCAGGATATATAAAACAATTAAGTTTATTGTACTCTCTCCCCCGTGACCAAGAGGCATTGTATCTGAGTTAGCTGTTCCGCTCCTGTGTCTTATTTGGGGAGAGAAATTAGTTCAAGATATGGTAAATTATGATATGGTAAGTTGTATAAGTTCATAAAAGTACTTTTATTTGGAAAATCCTGAACCCAAAAGAAGTACAATGGATAAAAGTTTGGGATATGACCTTACTCTGCTCAGTGTTTTTCTCTGAGTTAGAGGACTGATTAGGTTTCTCATTCGTTGGGATGTGCTTAGAATGAGAAGCACACTGGGTGTAGTTTGTGTGCTCTTTTGAAAGGCCTTGCTGTTAAGGAATGAAACAAATCAGACTCAGAAAAGCCACATTAAGTTAGTACAATACTGCAAGTCCCAGCATTTATTTTTGGAGTTTGCTTAAAAATAAGTCAAAGAATAGAAACTACGATTGTGCAAATACAGTCTTCTCTGTGTTTTTTTAAATTATTTTAAAACAATTTTTAAGTTTAAATATATTTTGATCATATTCTTCCCCTCTCCCAAGCCCTTCCAGATACTCTGCTTCCTACTCACTGGACTTTTAAGTTCTTTCTCAAAAACAACAACAAACCCTGAAGTTTTTTTAATACTAGATTTTAATTTCAGAAGGTGGAACATTAAGAACAAAGGAAAAATGTATTTTATAGAAAATGAGAAAGCAATAGCCTCAGTTTGGCCATTTTTCCTTTAGAAAAGTTCTGCTCCCTCAAATAACAGAGGCATCATGTTGGTAGGGTTGGTAACATGGCCTAGCCTTCTCACAGCTGGGTAAAGTTGGAGGCACCAAAGCCAGGAGGATTTGCATCTCACTGTAATGTTAAAAGAATTTATTTTACATAAGTAAATGCAGGGCCAGTTAAACAAGCATATTGCTGCTTGAGAATCCTAGCATTACAGTCCTAGATGGGCAAGTCATGACTGGGTTAGATTTGACATATGCAGAAAGCTTGCCCCTGAATTTTTATGAAATGCACCATAGGCTGTTTCAGTGAGATGATGGAAACAAGCTTAAGGTAGAAGGATTTTGTTTAAACCAAAACAACAACAACAACAGACCACAAACAAACAGAATAAGCATACATCTCCTTTCTTTCTTCCTTGTCCCTCCAACAACAGTTTTTGTTCTGGTCTCAAAAGAATACTTAGTGAGGCATGAGTGGTGCTTTCATGTACTGGTTACATGGGACTCTGTCTCCAGGTCAAAGTTTTGCTGATTGGGAGGGTATTATTGTTTACAAGCATTGGAAGGGGATGAAAGAAGAGTTGGTTGCCTGCTATACACAGATGCTGTGGTCTGTCCTGAGGCAGGTGGAGCCTTGGAGAGAAATATGACCCTGCCTCCAGTAACTAGAATATAAAATTGATGCTGAAGCTAAGGAAGGAGAGATTCAATCTTCCCAAACAACAGAAGGGTTTCAGGAGGAAAAGGCATTGGTGAAGATGGTTTGAGTGACTTGATAGCATGGGAAGAAAGTAAGAGAACACTTTATACAGGGCCACTTGATGCCAAACCCTTGTTTACCTTCAAGAGTGTTTCTGTTACTCCCACCTTGCTGATGGAATAAATGAGGTGCCAAGGTCGGGTAGACAGGAAGTAACAGAGTCACCTTGGCCTGAACACCTGAGTTTACCCACTGTCCCTGTTTCCTGCTATTCAGTAACGTCTTGCTCAGGTCTGTAGTTGCAAAGAGTGGATTTTGGAAAATGCATATAAATTTTGAGATTGGCTTTCTGAAAAACTCCCAAGGTAACGAAAACCTAGGGAAATGAGTTGTGGTTTTTGTTTTTGTTTTTGAGACAGGGTCTCACTGTGTAGCTGTGTAGTTCCAGGCTGCCCTGTATCTCACTATTTAGACCAGGCTGGTTCTAACTCACAGAGATACACTTTCCTCTGTCTCCCAGTGCTAGGATTAAAGGTGTGTGCCACCACACTCAGCAAGTGAGTTATTTTTGGCATGTAAAATATTTTAGTCCACTTTGGGAAGTTGCTTTTAGTGCTAGTTGGTTGTAACCATTGAGTAAGACTTTTGATAATTTTGAATTACTGCCTGTCAGCACCCATGTGGATTCAGAATGAGAAATTAGAAGCATACTCACCCTTACCCCACTGCAACATTTCAACTGTTGTGTATTTTATCTTGTATTTTTAAAGGTTACTTGGCATTAAATATTGTTTGGATTGACTTATGAAGCTCGAATTGAGTTGATGATGTCAGTCTCATCCCTTTCAGTTTTTATTTCCATAAATAGCTGTTTTGAGTACAGTTTTGTATATGTGTAAAATGAGAGACGTTCAGTCATGGATACTAAATATTTGGGTGTCGTCTAAGGTCTCTTGGACTATGAAGTCACAGGTGTGCTTCATACAGGCATGCTAGGTAAATGGGTACTGAAAAAATAGTGTCTGATTTTATTTATGAATTTTCAGGCTTAATGTTTGTTGCTGGTTAACTGGAAATGGAGTCACAGTAAATTCAGCTAAACTTAAATGGTGTATATGAGTGATCTGTGGTGGGTCCGAGCTCTTCACCTTCACCCTTGCTCAGATTGTCTGTGCTTATTGCAGAAGGTTCAGGGACCAGTTCATGAGTCAGCGTAGAAAGTGTTGTTCTCTTGGCTGAATGGGATAGATTCTGAGATCCCTCTCCAAGCCAGTAATTTGCAGTTCATGAACTTAAGTGGGAGAAAGGAGCAGCTGTCAGGTGGGTCACCTGTGTGCAGGTGGCCTTCATTGTCTTGCCTTGTTCAGTTATTTGTACCTTTGACAACATCTTTCAAATCTTCAGCCCAAAATTTCATAGAGATGCTTTTAAGTCCACTTCAGTAGTTTGAAAGGTTCTTGGGATAAAGGGGCATCAGTTCTTCCATCGAAGGGAAAGCAAGCGCCCTTCCCGGGGGACATCTTTTCCCACTTGAAAAGCACTGAGGCATGATGCCTCCCTCCTAGATGATCTCTGCCAGATCTTAGGGAAGACCTTGACAAACAGGCTGTGTGGTGTTCTGACAATACACTTTCCTGTTGTGTGAATCCCAACAGAACTCAAGCCTTGCTAGTTGCCTGGGCGTACTTGAACTTGTTTGAAGCTTAGTTTAAATTTTTTATGTATATTGTGACATTTCATAATATGTATAATGTATTTTGACCACATTGACCCTCCTATTGCCCTGCCGTCCCTCCTCTCACTTTTAAGTTCTTGAACTAGCACCTTGCCTCCCCTGGAGTAATTCATTCTTCCTCCCTTCCTCAGTTATTTGGTTCCTTAGACTCAGGAAGGGAATTTATTTCTTCCTTTCCTGGTTTCTGGAGCACCTTCGTCGTGGTTCCTGAGCAGGGTGAAGTTAGTAATGCTAGTCCCCCAGATCCACTGCAAATACAACACTTCCAGTGAGAAACAAGAAGGCAGCACCCAGATGACTGCATGACTGCTGATGCCATCTATCTTTGGCATGCCAAATCACAGCCTTTGCTGTGGGTCCCAGCTTTTGTTGTG